CCACGCTACGAGCGCCGGATGGAACCAGAACATGGGTATTTTCGCCAATAGACCTTCATGTCAAACTCGAACGAAGGCCTTTTAGATGTCAAGTGAGACCAAGTGTGTTTCTCCATGGTTATCGAGTGGAGCTGACCAGGATTGAGACAAGAGGCAGCAGGTCACCGGTGGAACGACGCGGTCGAAAGCTGTACTGGCGGTCGCTCAATAGTTCTTCGCGTTCAATGAACGTGCATAGCTGGTCAGAGATGATAGTTTCAAATACTTTCGAAAGAACATATGTGAGGGAAATGGGTCGGCCAATTGCTGGGGTTGGAATGGGAAAAATCACGCCGTTTCCAGGGGATTGGGAAGGAAGGCATTTGGAGGGGAAAACTGAAAATACGACGTAAAATAGGAGCCAGCTCAGTAGCACACATTTTGAGGAAAATGGGTGGAATACCGTTCGGATCGGGTGGTCTGTTTGCGTTTAAATAGCGCAATGTCTGACGGATTTTTCTAGTGCTGATATGAGGTATAAAAGGGTTGCCAGTGAAGAAGGAAGGTGGAGGTGTAGAAAAATGGGGTATGGTGGAATTGGCGGCAAACTGGGAAGTAAAATCCGCAGCTTTCTCGCTTGGTTGACATACAAGACCACCAGAGGAATTACAGATAAGGAGGAAGTTGGAAGGGCAGAAATTACAGGAAATTGCTTTGGCAAGGGACCAAAATGTTCGGCTACCGGTGGCGGCTTTACGGCGAACGAAGCGTTCCTTGTTTCTATGAATGGGCGACGAGCATCCGTCCCTAGCTTGCATGAAGCGATGATGGGAGAGAGGAGTGGGCGAGCGGCGGAAGGCTGAACGTTTAAGGCGTACAGCACGGTCACATGCATGGTTAAACCAATCAGGGCATTTGGGTTTGCCGGGTTTGGAAGTGTGGAATAAAAAAGATGCATACCTTAACGAACAATGTCGATGAAGTTGGGAACAGATTTGGAAACATTCGAAGAGAAACGGGAATTTTTCCAAGAAAAAGCAGCTAGGAAATCACGGAAACCGTCCCAAAAAGGACCGTAATGAGAATTAGATCGAGGGTGTGGGCACGATCGCCAGCTCGATCAGAGACACGTGTGGGGAGGTCAACTAGTTGGCTCAGGTCGACCAAAGCGAAGTGTTTGGCTTCGCGCCCCAAAGGAAAAGTAGCGGATGAATGTGCCAACCAGTCCTGATTGTTAAAATCTCCCAAGATGGTAACATGGCAGTTGGGGTCGGTTGCAAACAAATGTTCAATGTTTGAAGATAGAAAATCAGAGATAGAAGAGTCACCACTATTGGGGGAACGATACAGAACACAAAGGTGATGATTGAAGAAAGGAATTCGGTGTTTCAGTCACATCAGCTAAAATTCACGAGGAGAAAAGTCATAATTTGGGATCCTGGAAGCGGCGGCTAATTGGTGAATAAAGGCGCAGACAGCAACTTTAGGTAGAAAGGAGGAATGGAGAGTGTAGTTGGGGCATTGAAGGTGGGGTGTCTGACGAGGGAGAGATTTGTGCTTCGGTTAAAAAAGTATGAGTGGGGAAGAAGAATGGAGAAAATTGTGTACAGATTCAATATTACGGTTCAGTCCGCGAATGTTGGTGAGGGTGATGAGTGCGTAGAGCGAGCCAGGGAAGGTGAGCGTGTGATTTTGTATTGTCATGTTTATGTTGTGAAGAAACTGACAATCATAATTCTGAAACATGGAGTGGCGGACCACATAAGGCTTCAGTAGACCAGGCGTGGTAGAGCCGGGCGACGGCAGAGCCACCTACCACCGTATAAACTGTGATATTAGTCAACAGGTGTATCAACTGAAACGAACTTGTTCATCACTGTTTTCTTTTTTCTTGTAATGTATAACAACGTTAGACTCGGACAATTGAAAGAATTCTTTATAGTTAACCGAACCAGAATCAAGGACGATGACTGCGACTTACTATGGTCGTTCGGGGACGTTGAGGGTGATACTACCCTGTGATTCTTCCCCAAAACACAGGTACCCATAAAAGGCGACTGCCGTGTTCACACAAATGATTACGGCCATACCGGTATTCAGTACGCCGACAGGGTGAATGTATCCTCCAGGATCAGCCATTTTGTTTTCGATCGGTAGAATCTACGGGTAACATATTTGGGCACGAGAAAAACGACACTGATAAACCCTTCGGTGAATGAATATTACCCTGCATATCCCACATTAGGTTCATCTGTCTTCAGAAGGTTATGATCATTATTTGATGAATATGATCAACGGAGTTATTGGTCTTACTTGTAACTCCATAATTGCTAAAGGTTAAACTAGAACAGTCTTAAATTCCCATCTAGAACTTCATACAGGCACTGCAATGGTTCACTGCTATGCAGCTTCATCGATGCGTTGAAAATAAAAAATTGCTGATAAAGGGATTGTCAATAAAGTGGTCAAAGAAAGTTGAAACATACTTTGATATCCCGTACATAGTCGGCGAACCTGATTCCAACCA